CTAGCCAAAACCAATTTTTCCCAGCGTAGTTTGCCGAGCTACAACCTAATAAAGCCCCAACAATCCACTTTCAAGGCCGCCAGGCCTCAAATCCTAGTTCGGCGAACTAGGCCCAAAAACGATTTGGCCAGGAAAGAACCAGTCAGGTTGGGTGTGAAAGGGAAAACAACCAAACCATCACTACTTCAAGTTCCAAGGATCTTTTCCGTCCACAAGATCTGGCTGAATGGTCCGTCTCTGAGAGGCTTTGGGGCTAGGGAACACGCTTGGCCGAACGCGGTCCGTAGGTGTTGTTGGGCACTCATCATGGCTGGAGGGCCGCTTCATGGGGGGCACAACTAAAAGAACTTCAAAACTTCCCGACCTCGAAATTGGGCAGTGTTTTTTAGTGGCGTGGAGAGTGAGCAGGTGAGGCATGACTTCTTATTTTTTGGCAAACTCGAGCCCGAAAACTCAAGCAAAACTCCAACTGACTGACATTCTCTTCCCCATGCAAATCCAGTCCTAGATCCAGTGCCCACGCCCGCCCGCGCCTCCAAAATCTCTGCCAGGACTGTGAAGTCGATGAAGTGTGTGTGTGTGTGTGTTTTGCGTGTGTCTGTGTGTGATGTTAGTATGACCATATACCTTAATTTCAGCTTGCTCGTTAATTTCAGGTGACGTCGGTGACGTCGTTTTATATTGCCTAGATCTATTTGAGGTACCTCGTGGGCCTGAAAACCGGTTGGCCGCTGTTTGGGCTGGCAGTTCCGTTTGGAAACACCCATCAGGTCATCGCTCCTTTCCAGGCCACGGAATGGCCATCGCCGATCTCCGAAGCGTCTTCCACGCCTTACTCTCACTGGTGCCTCGCCCTCGAGTGATCCGGCCAAGGTTGTACAAAGCCCCGACGTGGTCTGCTGCGGCTTTGCCCTCCTCCTCCCCACACAGAAGTCTTGGGAGTGACATTTGGGATCTTGAAGTCTTCCAAGGAAGTCATGATTGAGACTTTTAGATTGGCAGCTAGTTTCAGTTTCAACGACATCCCGGCAATTTGTCACCAGAATAAGGCTTTGGTCTCCAAATTCCATATTGACAATGCCTCCCACCCAATAGCCACGGCCTCCAACCTAATAGCGGAAAAAGCATACAAAAACGTCTTTCCTTTTGAAACGTCTCACTCCCCCGACCGCCGAGATCCTTCCAGCGGCGGAGGATCTGCCAGGGCGACGTCAAGTCCGAGAAGTGTCGGCGCAAGGTCGCCCGCCAGCGGGGTGCCATGGCGGCCAAAGGGATCATTTGTAGTTGGGAAAGTAGGAAAGTAGGCAAACACAAATCAATATCAAGTAATTGATGGTGATGCGTGCTTTAAAAACATGTACATATCACACATATCATATCATATCATATCATGTCATATCATATATAACTAATCAAATATGCAACACTGGCTTGCACAACCGCAACTTTTTTGGGCCAATCCACCTATTGGCTATGGTCAGCTGTGACAGGTCCGGTCGTAAACACTTCGAAAGAAACTGGTCAATGAGATGTGAGCACTGGTCCCGTAGGGATTCAGAAGGTCACGTTCGAGAAGGTTTGACCCCCAAAGGAACCTTATGAACATCATGTTGGCAGGTCTTCCAGGCATCCGCCCTACAAAGAGAATGGCCTCCAACCTAATAGCGATGGCCTCCAACCCTATAACAAAGAGAAATACACTAGATGATGGTAGTAGACCCAGCGGTGCGCACATCGCCCTGCACGGCATTTCTCTTCTCAGGCTGCGGTGCCGCTCCGCCTTTGCACATGCATCGATGCAAACCGTGTAACCTCGGCATGTTTAGCAAGCAGAGGCTGTGCATGACCGAACTTCTGCTGGACGTAAAGTATAAGACCTGTTTGGACAAGCAAGGCCGTGCAAGAAGAGATAAGAAGCTCAGAAAATATCCTAGGTCCTTAACCCAAATCATCCCAAATCAAAGCGAAGCTGAAGTTGCAACTTCTGCAACTTCTCTAGGCATTGTAATTTAAAATCAGTCAATGGCGCACAGTTCGCAGAGAGCCTCTGATCGCTATCCTCAAGACTATATAAATAAGACCAGGCACTGACAGCGTCCGTGACCTTTAGCTTCTCCATTACGCACAACAAATGCAAAGCCAGCTGCCAGCGACCAGCCTGATGGGCACATTGATCTTCCATAATAAGTATCTGTATGACCTCCTGTGATGTCTGAATTATTTTGCACTTATAGTGTAGTTATACATTCCAATTAAATTCATTTAAAATCATATGCGGCGTACGCGCTCTCACTCTTTACCCCTCTCTGAAAATCTCATGGAGCCGTTCCTGTCTCTTTGGGAATGCCCGCTCACACTCTCACACGATCTGCCAAGAAATGCGGGGAGTTGTTGAACGCCTCCCCACAACGAGAAGAAAACGCTTTTTGGAACCCACTCTGACCTCTGCAAAGGAGCCAATTGCAGCACTGGAGGCATTGTGTAATGACAACCTACAGGCTTCAATCAGATGGCATGCTCTCTGCACAAGGCGGCAGCAACAGCTCTTAAGGTAAGTTGCTGCAGTACAACGACAACTGAAATTTCGGAATGCAATTGACTAAATACTGCTCGAAGCAGACACGAAGGCCATAGGACGCATGAGTAAACTTCCCCAGCCTCAGCCGCTCCATTTGCCACAACATGTGCGAAGCCAATTCCCAGAGACTTTGGGTGCCGCAGACCGAGATGGACGAGATGTAGCCTCGTATAGAATGTCAAACCATTTAAAGCCACATATTGAATTACAGTAAAGCTGGTAACTTCTTGTTACTAGTGGCGATGTACTTGTTACTAGTAGCAAGAATGAATAGTCATATATACTATATATATAGGGGATAACGGGTGGATGGCATTTTTGGCTCGGCACAAGTAGATGGTAGATGGAAATGGAGGGTTGAATTACTCTTACCGGGACCCATGTGTTGTTCGAGACTGCCATCTATGTGTTCCTGAAAAGCCGGGGTGGTTTCAGCAACGTTCATCTGCATTGTTTGCATTTGTTGTAAGGGGGTTGTGGGAAGCAACGTTTGCACCCAAGGTCTTTCCCTCTTCGGAAAGATATACAGTAGACCAGCCAAATAACTAAGAATTAAAAATTAACCCGCTACTTTTTCTACACTTTTTCTCCTCTCCCCCTGTCTCTGTGTCTATTCCCTTAACGGGGGAGACACAGGGAGACCGGTTGGCCTTTCGGCTGTGCCCATGGAAGCCGCCGGGTCAAGGTAAACCGGCGAACCCTTTTCGGATTTCTCTGTGTCTCCCTGTGTCATATTCCTTCATGTCCTGGCTTCCATGGATGAGCTGCGTATGCCATCTAGGTGTGGCCAGGGCGGGAACGTGGTTTAGCGGCGTTTTTGAAGAAAACATGCTTCCCGTTGGACACCAAATGCCATCAACACGTGCGCATTCTTACAAAACGACATCCAAAGATCCACGGATCAAGCGACATTTGCTGACATTTCTTGCATTTTCTTGAAGTCTTGCAATGCTTTTGAGCTCTATTTGCAGTGTATGCCATCTACATCTTTCACATTTCTGTAGTGCGGGGGTAGATGGCATGGAAATGGTCTAAACCACAAGAGGATGGCATATCATAGGCTCCCTCCTCATGCAATCAATTCGTTATCCCCTATATATGTGCGAAGCACATATATCACGTGTGTGTGTGTGTGTCATTGTATGTGGCGTATGATTGGTCCCAAAGAGTCCAAGTAGAGACTTGGGCTGACCAGGCATGACGGACATGTGCCAGATCTTCTCAAGTATACTACCGACCGGTGACTTAGGACTTGTGTGGGCCAGTGACATAGTAGTTATGGCCCACTACTCCTAAGTCATTGGGAACACACAAATTGCAGAGCTGCTGATTCAAGCCTCATGACTTGGGAATTGTCGCAACGCCTTAAGCTCTTTCGACTGAACCTGGTTACATGACATAAGAAGTTTGTAATATATGTTTTTTTTCTAATCCCTTTCCTATCTCATCATGTTTCATCATGCCTCCTGGTACTTACAACTCCTATCTCACGTCATTTATTCATCTTTTCCGGCAGCTTTCTGTTTTTTTTGTTTAAAGCTGTTCTTGCGTGACCATGTTTTGATGTGTTTCTCTACTTTAAAGTCCATGACATAGGAGTTGTGTACATTGCTCAAAAATGCTTTAAGACCCATGACAAAGGAGTTGTAAAACCCACCATACGTTTTACAACTCCTTTGTCACTAGTCGAGAGTATATTTGGCAAGACCTGACAGCCATAACGCCAGCCCAAGAGCTCACTTCATCTGCATGCACTCGCCATAGTGGCATCGCCGTCAGCAAACCCAAGGCTGACAGCCAGCTTTCCCTGAGCTTTCCCAGCGCCAAGTTGCAACACAGCACATCTGGCGCCTGTGGCATGTGGGGTGCCTGTGCCAAGTGTTGCATTTTGTGCATGAGTTTCAACACCATTTGCCAGGAGATGCTGGGAAGGCAGCTGTTGAAACTCACAAGGTCCCCGCTGATGGTGGCGCTTGGTAATTGACCTGAGCGATGGTTGATTAAAAGAATAGCGAAATAATAAGAATAAATAGAAATAATACTAAACGTATAATTACGTATATAAACGATTATAAAATACTATAAATTATAAACGTGTCATTGGATGCAGCCATGGCAAGGTGAAAGGAGAAGGCGGGCAGGCGGGTACTGCACGGTGAATAGGTGAACACTCATTCCATCGTCCAACAGAGAGGTCGAGTCCAGTCACGTTTGCCTCCCGTTACCAACAGACACACCAACTTGAAAGCCAAAACATTATGACAAAACATCTACTGCACCTTCATGCAAGTCCAAGATGCACAGGAGGCTCAAGGTAGCCGTCCACTTGCTCTTGCTCGCACTGATCAAGGTGTTCCAGCTGATCAACCCTCTCTCTAACCTCAGCCAACAACATCTTATGAATTGGCAAGCCCCTCTCTCAGCCAAAGGAACACATGAACCTAAACCCGTCAGCAGTTAAATGTTGTCACCTGGCAACTGGTACCACGCCATCTGCTCAAGGAGAACCCCTCCCCTCTGCCACTGGAACGAGTCTGCAGCAAGGGCCGAGTTGAAGCTTGTCCTCATCTAGTAAACACTTCTTGACACCATCCCAACTCACGACAAACAATAGAACGGCATCAAACTGCACTAGTCATCAGACTCATTAATCATTAGATAATCCATTTAAATCCATTTGACTAATCCTTTCTCAATGTTCTCAGTCAGTGCTGCCCACAGCTAAGGCTCTGGTCAAGCTCTAGATGAGAACAGCGGGCATCACCTGCAACCAGGTCAAATCAGGCCACTGACAGAGCCAAGAAGTCTGCACAGGAATATGGTCAAGATATGGAACCTGAAAGCAGCCGCATTGATGCCAACTCGAGTTGCCATCTCCAAATTGAAGCTGACCGGCCTAACATTTGGAGCGATCTCTGCCAAGCAGCTTGGCATGCAGCTATGGCCTTGGTATCTTTGCATTTCTTGGGCCACTTATGTCGGTCTCAGCGTCTCAGCCAGTGGCAATGTTGCACTGTAGCAGGGAGCAGTGCTCCATACCCAGCGGAAGCTGCAAGGAGATCTGCCACAGGGAAGCCGGGAGCGCAGCGGCCAGGCTGGTCAGCATACTCCTTACACATATGAACGTGCACGTGGCCACACAGGCCTCGCATATGGATATCATATGACAGGACAAACACTTTGAAAAAAGCGGGCATGCGCATGCCTCAAGTGCAGCCAAAAGCTCTCTGACCGAGCGAATTGCAGAGCTACTTGCCAGCTCGCACAAAGTGCCTAGTCATGCATAGAGGAGATCTATGTTCATGGATTCATGAGTATTGATGAGGAATAAGTGGTGTTTAAAGTGCGTTAATCCAAATATCAACTGCACCGGTGATTTCGCGGGTCCGCCTGACTGCTGACCCACTCGGCCTCTTCCACGCCAACGACAATCTGCAGCGCCCGCTGCCACTGGCCTGGATCCTCTAGGTCTTTAGTCGAAGCCAACGATGCAACACAAAAAAAACCTGATAGAACCCACGAACCCGAATGCAGTCACTTTGTATAGAAGCGTAGCACTCAAAGCGTTCTTGTTTTCGGAGATGACTCGCAGAGTCATCAACTAAAGCAGCGCCAGCACCCCCCCAGCCCTGCGGACACTCTTGCTTGACACTGTTTCTTGACACTCTTTGCTAGACAACCTTTCTTGACACTTTCTCTTGGCACTCTTGCTTGACACTCTTGCTT